GTAGCGCCACTCGGGCCTGCATTGTTGTTACGGTTGAATGTTCTCCGGGGTTGCTCCCGGTCTTGGTCAAATGTTGTGTTGTCCTGGACCAACCTGAGTCTGAATTTTGACAGTCCCCATCACTTCACTGCTGGTATTGTCGTATGCTCTGATCACTTGAGTAGTCGACACGAAGTCCGCGGGCTTCAGCCCGATTGCATACGCTGTTCTGGTCGGGCAGACATTAATAGCGGACCCAGTATCAACAAGTACCATTGGTATCCACTTGTCTCTACATTCCATGGAAATGTAGAGGGGTTTGTTGTGATTTATGCCCTCAGGCGGTAGTTCCTTGTCTGAAAAGGTCAATGCCGGGGAACCTCCTCCCGGGAAGACCAGCCCAACCAGTTGCTCTGGTGTAGTATCGATGGAGAGTTTGGACTTGTCCATAGCAGTTAAAACAGCTTGCCTATGTACCCGCGAAGCCATAAGCAGTCCCCAGATGGAGATGTCTGCTTGTATCTTCTTTAGCTGTCTCAGCACAGCTTCCTCCTCAATCTGTTTCTCCTTTTGCCTTTCGGCTTCTTTGTCTTTCCCGGATGCCTTGGGTTGGTCTAGGTGTGGGGGCTTGAAATACCGCCCACTTCTCGTCATGTGATCTACCTCATCAAGATACCAAGTATCATCCGGTTGGCCACTTCTCCAGTCTTCATCGGTGTGGGCAAGACATAAGTCGTCGTCTTCCCACCACATTCCGTCGGCAGCCAACAGACACCTGTCTGGCTCCGGTCCACTCGCACTTGCAGTGTTCTTCGTCCACATGCTCGCAGCATTCTCTATCTTCGTGCACGCAGCACTCTCAGTCCCCTCAGGGCCTTTAGCTTTCCTAATTCTCTCGGCATCCTCAAACTTTTCTCGTTCCAGCTGCGTTAGTACAGTTGGTTGTTTAACAATTCCTGTATCCATAATGCCCAAATCTCGAGCGAAATTCTTAGCACCGGCGCTCTCCGGTGATACAACTTGACTTCCGGCCATTCCGGCCACAGCTGATACTCCTGCCCCAGCCGGGCTCTGTTCTGGTTGTGATTCACCCACTTCATCTGGTTGATCCTCAAGCCATCCGGTGGCCTCCGCCGATTCCTCATAGTCGAACCAGTTGATTGCCGAATCCCCCGGTTCCTGGTCATCGAAAAATTGCAGGTTGGCGAAGTCCTCTTCTACGGCTGTCAGTTCATCTGCCCCTAGCCCAGATCCATCCCCCCGGATCATGCACAGCTCTCTTGTCTCTGGCAATTCTATAC